TTAAGAACAGAAAAAAAGTGAGATCGCTCAGCTCGCGTCGTCGATGCGGCGACGCAGACGCAAGGTGTCTCTACCTCCGCGTATGTCGCTCGAATTCGACAATCGGATAAAATTTGAGGTTAACCCAGACCGACGCTAAGCGGCAAAAAACGAATTCCGCGTAAGCCTGATACTAAGAAACGCGTTGAAGCCGGATTTAACGCGAGAGTCATCGAAATGTTATTTTTCTTTTTTTTTTTTTTTAACGATGCAAGATCTCGCGGATGTTTTGACAAACTATAAAGATTGAACGGAGACGCGAACTTTTCGAAAAAGTTGCAGGCCCTAATTAACCCATTTGCATCATTAGCGTATATTTACCCTCAATTTTCCTGGTCACTATCACCGGAGCGTATATATACTCTCAATTTTTCTAGTCACTATCATTCAGCCTGAAATTTGGTGATAAGGACCCTCTTTTTTATGTTACAGGTCCTGATTAACCCATTTGCATCATTTGTGTATATATACCCTCAGTTTTCCTAGTCACTATCACCGGAGCGTATATATACTCTCAATTTTTCTAGTCACTATCATTCAGCCTAAAAGTTGGTGATAAGGACCCTCTTTTTTATGTTGCAGGTCCTGATTTGCATCATTAGCGTATATATACGTTCAGTTTTCCTGGTCACTATCATCGGAGCGTATATACATTCTCAATTTTACCGATCACTAACATTCAGCCGGAAATTTGGTGATAAGGACCCTCTTTTTCATGTTGCAGGTCCTGATTAACAAAATCGCATCATTAGCGTATATATACGCTGTTTTCCTGGTCACTATCACCGGAGCGTATATATACTGTCAATTTTCCTGGTCACTATCATTCGGCCTGAAATTTGGTGATAAGGACCCTCTTTTTCATACTTCCCTATGATGCAAATGGGTCTAGGGGAGCGGGAAACGTTTCTCTCGGTGGTATGTGTACCAAATGCTAGGAGAAGCCTTGGTTTACCTGAATCGAGCTTGCTGTCGGGGAAGACCGCGGAATTGATTTGAACCTGAAAAAGTTGCAAAGTACAATCCCTGGGTCTCCTTACAATCGGGTACAAACAGTCAAGGGTGAAGGGAGAGTCGGCGCATCTCGCGAAGGTGCTGCCCTCGCACATAACCTAGGGACTTTGCCTAGGGACTTTACCTAGGAACAGACAGCGCAACGTAGGACGCTCCTAAATGTAAATGCCCGTACAGCAGCGATGCATCTCCAGCAATACATTATGCATTCTGGCAAGGAATACAGAGTGCGCATGCGGCTCCCGAGTGGAGGGCTCGAGAATTAAGGAAGCGCATTTTCCACGAAACTCGCCAAGATGGCGGCGGACGCGTTTGCTCTCGTCTTGTCTGATCGGCACTTACGGCTAGGTGTGAGTAATCGCGCTAAGCTGCGAAAATAAGGTACATGTCTCGGAAAAGAAGTGCTTATAAGCGGGCCAGAGACGAGCGAGTACGTACATTTCGAGGTTAGGTCACGGGCACCGTCGTTAGTGCGGTAACATCCATTAAGGGGGTGGGAAAGTCGCGAGGTCTTCTTTATGTAACTTTCCTCGGAACTGGGTGTACCGAATCGTTTCAAACTTTACAATGTGAACATAGAGGCTAAAAGGAAGGGCCTGCCGCCCGTGAAATTTCATTTTTTTAGAAAAAATTAAAACAACACCTAGAAAGAAAATTTTAAACCATTTTAATTTCATGGGTGTCAGGACCTTCGTACCCTCCATATTTACGTTGCAAACTTCGAAATGATTCGATGTACCTAGTTCAAAGAGAAGTTTCATAAACAATACCTTTGTGTCGGCATTTTCACACCATCTTAACACGTGTGTATTAATTATTAATGGATTGTTATTAATCTCCTCGTTAGGGGTCGCAGTAATCCTTTGGGAATACGGAAAAGGCGTTTACGAGGCTTCCCAGATAGACAAAGTGATGCAAAATTTCCATGAAATTTGCCTCGTAAAAGATCATGAAATGAGTCATGAGGATGTTGCTTACGAGTCTTAATTTGGAAGTTAGAGGTTAGGTCACGGGCACCCTCGTTAGTGCGGTAACATCCATTAAGGGGGTGTGAAAGTCGGGAGGTCTTCTTTATGTAACTTTCCTCGGAACTGGGTCTACCGAATCGTTTCAAACTTTACAACGTGAACATAGAGGCTAAAAGGAAGGTCCTGACGCCCGTGGAATTTCATTTTTTTAGAAAAAATTAAAACAACACCTAGAAAAAAAATTTTAAGCCATTTTAATTTCATGGGTGTGAGGACCTTCCTTGTAGCCTCTATACTTACGTTGCAAACTTCGAAATGATTCGATGTACCTAGTTCAGAGAGAAGTTTCATAAATGAGACCTTTGTGTCGGCATTTTCACATCTTCTTAACACGTGTGTATTAATTATTATGTTGTATGTATTAATTATTATGTTGTAAGTAATGGGTTGTTATTAATCTCTCCGTTAGGGGTCGCGGTTATCCTTTGGGAATACCCAGATAGACAAAGTGATGCAAAATTTCCATGAAATTTGCCTCATAAAAGATCATGAAATGAGTCATGAAGATGTTGCTTATGAGTCTTCATTTGGAAGTCATATCTACGGTATACAATGACGAGCCAAAAAGCCTTAAATATGAAACAAAGTTAAGTATATGCAATGTCTCAACGTTTGTACGCATATGTATAGCTGAATTTATCTCACGCATAAATTATATTGCCGATAAACAATTGCAGCGTATCGTTGCTCATATTTGAGCCATGGCGTCGCAAATTGACCGCAAACATTTCTTCATAAAGCCCTTTTTTGTCTCCTGGGAGACGTCAAGTGTATTCAGTAAATAGTCTGCAAATTGTTTATAAATCCCGTATAATGTGATGATCATGAATTTATATCTGGGTTGACTCGTTTCTTTCAGGAAATCAGCGAGAATACCGATTGCCTGCCCTCTTTTTGGTTTAGTTTACTTCCTTTAAAAGACTTTTTATGTCTCCGAGGAGACGCCAAGTGCATGCAGTAAATAGTCTGCAAATTGTTTGTAAATCCCGCATAATGTGATGATCATGAATTTCTATCTGGGTTGACTCGTTTCTTTGAGGAAATCAATGAGAATTCCGATTGTCTGCCCTCTTTTTGGTTTAGTTACTTCCTTTAAAAGCCCCTTATCGTCTCCGAGAAGACGCCAAGTTTCGCTCGCGCTTAATTGACCCGCCATTGATCTTCGGAACTGATTGACTGACCATTATATAAGACTCTACATCTTGTCTCGTGACACGGTGTCAACGTTTCGCGGGTTATTCCACATAACTATCCTTAGACTAGTCGTTTAAACTGCCAGGGTCCAAGTACACACAACCGATACTACAGATACCTAGGTAGCTTTCCTCTAACATTAACTCCGTCTATACATACTCTATACATACTCTATACAAATCCATACGTTCACGTGTAAAAGTATCTAATGCAGTACATTCACTCTAACCAAACAGCAGACTCTTGGCCAGTTGCACCAACAGCCTGAATTAATATCGCTATTTAATCCTCGGTTAACTTAATCTCTGCTATACCCATAAATATTTAATGTTCTAGGTGATATCAAGTGACAAATATAGGTACAATTAGATTATTCGTTGCTATCTCGTTCGTAGAATAATTGTTAACGTTTGCAACGCGAAGATAAAATTCGACGCTATTTTAATCTGGATTAAAGAGTTGACCGAAGTAATTCGGTCGATTAGTTAACAGCTGGTACTTATTCTTCTAGCTATAATCAGGGTTGGTGCAACCGGGAAAATTTCTTAATTTGTTAGTTAAGGTTATGCGAAAGTGCTGTCAAAGAGGTCTCGTTTATGAAACTTTTCATCGAATTGGGTGTACCGAATCGTTTTAAACTCGAGAATATGAACATGAAAGCTATAAGAAAGGTCTTGACCCTCGCAAAAATTCAATTTTTTAACAATTTGTTTAAAGATAGTTTCAACATTTCTGATGAAAACTGAAACTTCATGAATGTCAGGACCTTCTTTATAGTCGCCACGTTCACATTATAAAGTTTGAAACGATTCGGTACACGCAGATCGGAGAAAAGTGTCATGACCTCTTAGACCGGACTTTTACATCGCCTTAAGGCGAAAGTGACGTCAAAAAGCTCTCGTTTATGAAACTTTTCATCGAACTGGGTGTATCGAATCGTTTCAACCTTGAATATACGAAAACGAAAGCTATAAGGAAGGTCTTGACTCTCACGAAAATTCACTTCTTTAACAATTTGTTTATAGATATTTTGAAAATTTTTGCTAAAAACTGAAATTTCAAGAGTGTCAGGACCTTCTTTATAGTCGCCACGTTCACATTATAAAGTTTGAAACGATTCGGTACCCGCAGTTCGGAGAAAAGTTTCATGAACGGTTTCTCAGACGCCGCTTTCACATCCCCTTAATCATGGTTAATTAACGGCACATCGATTAAGGTTGGTGCTCTCTAAGCTCTAATTAAACGGGTCGCAGGAAAAAAATGCAAGGCGTCCTGCCGCGGGAGTGAAGCTCCTTGAAGGATCGCCGGGATCCAAGATGGCGGCCCGAGAAGCGTCCCTAAACGACGAAGGACGAAACTCGGGCGGGTCTACGAGCATCCTAGGCCTTTTTCCGGCGGCGACTCCCGCGAAAATGGATCGTCGCCAGCCGGAGAGGCAGGAAACGGTTCCACGACGCGAGTTTCGCCGGAAAGGGACGACTAGGGTCCAGCTATTAGCCGGAGGCGAGTCGTGTTCCCTGGAACGACCGGACGAGGGACGGACCAAGCGTCGCACAAGTAAGGTTATGCACCTCCACCCACACCAACCGAGGACGAGTCAGTGACGAGAGGAAGCTAAGTTACTCACACGTACCAGAGAAAAATCTACCACGGGCTTAATGTGTATCACTAATGACATACAACGATACGTATACACTGCTCTACGCTAATTGTTGAAACACTTACTGAATCTTCTCATAAGATTTCCGGCAAAGGACTCGACACCGGAAGAAGACGAGGCCTCCTCCTCGCACCTGAGGTCGCGCGTGGCCCCCTCGGCCTTCTGGTACTTAATATTAGGCACCGAGAGCAGCCGTCCTTCTCGCTTGGGCTTGTTCCCCCTCATCAGCTTCAATTTGCTGGGTTTGCTGGCCTCGCTAGGAAAGAGCGCGAGATTCGCCGGTCGGACGGCCTCGGACTTGGTCGCCGAGTTTTTGCTAGAAGTCGGCTTCACCTTGTCCTCTTCGACTTGGGCTGTCTGCCCCTCCGAGGGGGTGGAGCTGACTTCCTGGCTTGGTTGGGTCGTCTCCCCGGATGGCGAATGCTGCTCGGGCGACGGAGAGGACTCCGAGCCCACGCTTTCGACTGGGGACAGGGGCGAGGATATCTCGGGGTTGCAGTAAAACACCGACGTCCCTTTCTGGATGGACGCACCTGGGTTGCCGCCTCCCTGCTAGCAATGGGGTACTTGCATGAACCTTTGTCGCTAACTTCGACTCGCGTTTGGGGCCATCGGGAGGATACCGGGGCTGGTGATACGGAATTTCGAGATAGGGAGGTGATCGCCCTGGCGACGAGGTCCGTAACTCTGGTGGACGTTGCGTTCGTCTCGTCTCGTATGAAGTCAAAGGTGTTTGCATCTATATGGCGATCTTTGTCTTCGGATAAGTTAGGAGCTGGTATCTTTGCTTTTTAAACAGTCGACCCTCCGCGGTTACCGCATTTGGTTACCCGTCCATGTGCTGAACCCGCCCAATGTTGCTTAATTTTGGTGAACTGACGAGAACTGGTGCTTTTTATCGTGGTATGAGCGGTAATGGATACGGACAGACCTCGTGATCGGGGAATGATTGCGCCATCCAATGCGGATGGAAAGTGGTTATTTAAATAATTATTTTGGGATGATCCGAGGACCAACTCCGGCAACATGACGGCGAGTGTGAAAAAGCCCATGAGTGAGACCTGCTTCATGCTTTTCAGTGGTTGCGATGATGATGGCGTTGGATGAACGGGTGATAGGTGAGTGAAAAAACGGCTACTCCACGCCCAATGTTGCTTAACTTCGGTGAACTGACGAGAACTGGTGCTTTTTATCGTGGTATGAGCGGTAATGGATACGGACAGACCTCGTGATCGGGGAACGATTGCGCCATCCAATGCGGATGGAAAGTGGTTATTTAAATAATTATTTTGCGATGATCCGAGGACCAACTCCGGCAACATGACGGCGAGTGTGAAAAAGCCCATGAGTGAGACCTGCTTCATGCTTTTCAGTGGTTGCAATGATGATGGCGTTGGATGAATGGGTGATAGGTAAGTGAAAAAACGGCTACTCCACGCTCAATGTTGCTTAATTTTGGTAAACTGACGAGGATTTGTGCTTTTTATAGTGGTATGAGCGTTGATGGATACGGAAAGACCTCGTGATCGGGGAACGATTGCGCCATCCAATGCGGATGGAAAGTGGTTATTTAAGTAATTACTTTGGGATGATCCGAGGACCAACTCTGGCAACATGACGGCGACCGTGAAAAAGCCGATGAGTGAGACGTGCTTCATGCTTTTCAGCGGTTAATGCTGTCACTGGTTGCGATGATGATGGCGTTGGATGAACAGGTCATATTAGGTAAGGGAAAAAAGGGCTACTCCACGCCCAATGTTGCTTAACTTCGGTGATTTAACGAGAATAGGTGATTTTTAATGTAGTCGTCTGTGTAGTAAAGTATAAGCGTCGGCCCGGTCGAGGACCGAATGTTCCACCTACTCCGGATAGAAAGCAAGTTTGTGTGGACTGACTATATTCATATGTTGCTTTGAATGCGTGTTACATAAAGGGGCCACTATAGTGGCGGTTCCTGAAAGACGTCACTCCTAGTAAGGCCGCTATAGTGCAGTTTCTTAAGGTGATATGAAAGAGTCAGCCTATATATATCTGAGAAGTCAAATCGTTGGAGAAAGTATTCTCCGAATTGGGTGCACCGATTCATTTTAAATTTTATCACGGGAACACGGAGGCCCGAAAGTAGGTCCTGAAATTCACGAAAGTTCATTTTTCATCCAACATTTATTTATTTATCATAGACTAGAACCAACATGGCGTGGTTCGTGCACGTTTTCGATGTTTTACCCTTTTTGGAGGCTTAGAATTGAAAATGAAGAGTTTCAGGACCTAGCTCGAACAATTTAAAATACCGTAGAAATGGAATATTACACAGCCAGACTGGAAAATATGGAAAATAGTTTCACCGACGATGGCAAGAGAATGCCAGCTTGTCTCGAGGCTAACGTGGGTTTTTATAGCAAAAATTTAGTTGCAGCTAAACGTCACAGATGGCGACGTTGGTCCTAAACAGTCTTTAAAATAATAAATTCCCAGGATTTCGACAGTTTTACGTCGGTCCCTTCGTCATTACTTTACCAAAATGACATATGAAACGTTTCATCTCGAATAATTCTCAACGTAGATCGTCAAAAACATCAACATAACTATAAAGTCATTAACGTGACGCGCCAGCTTATGTTCCTCCTTCAGTATTCGGCATGGTATTACCACCAAAAAGGGTACAGATGAATTTTGCTTAATCGACATCGATTAAATTTCCCAGCGCCTTTCATATCATCTCAACAAACGCCACTCACGGTAAGGCTACTATAGTGGTGTTTCCTAAAGAAAAAAAAATGTTATCCACAGTAAAGCCGCTAAAGTGGCGGTTTAAAAGAAACGTCCCAATGAGGCCGTTACAATAGCGTTTCCTAAAAAGCGTCACTCACAGTGAGGCCACTACAGGGACGTTTCCTAAAAAATGTCCCTCTAGCGGAAGCCACTATAGTGGCGCCTCGTAGCTGAAGGGTTAGCGCCGTCACCGGACGCAACGACAATGGCGTTAGATGGACAGGTGATGTTACGCGAGCTAGAGAAGGGCCACTCGTGCTGGGAATTTCGAGGAGAGTTCCCATGCACCCTCCGGGGCACCAAGCTCGGCCAGGAACGCGAAGGAAGGGAAGCCGCCCCTCGGATCGGGTCGTTAGTTCGAGAAAGCAGTTAAGCAGCACACAAGTACCCCATTTTGGGAGGAGGACGAGGCGAAGGTGTGCTTGATCTTGAGATCGACTTTGCTGAGCTGTCGTTTCAGGCTGAACCCCTTCCAGCTGTAGTTTTTACGGCCCTCCTCGTCGCTGGTGGTACTTCCCGCCTTGGGGATATCTCCTGCGGGGTCTTCCGCGTTTTCTCTCCTCTCGGCGTCGGTTCCGTAGGGCGTCTCCTGCTGGGGCTCTTGTTGTTGCTGCCGAGGACGATGAAGGGACGCGTCCGGCTCCTCTACCGCGACTACGTGCTCGGTTTCTGACGCCGTTTCTTGCTGGGTCTGACGGATCTAACGTGTCAATAGCGCACAGTCAATCAGTTCCTGAACAAACGGTTAGAGCGAGGGGCTTTCTGAAAGTATGCAACGTTCGCTGATTAGTCGGGGTTCGCGACCTACGAGTTCGGGTTTAGTTAAACCGCGGATATTCGGGTCTTGGGTATGCAGCGTTGAGAGCGACTTTGTGCCTGTCGCGATTTCTGGCATGTTTGTTAGGTTTTTAACGGTCTAACTTGAGGCTCGACAACGAATTGACAATTTTTACTCACACCTAAGGGCCCACATTTTTCTTTTTTGCAAAATATTGATGTTTGTTTTAATATACAAGTCCAGGCTCCGGTTTAGCAAAACCGTGGATATTCGGGTCTTGGGTATGTAGCGTTGAGAGCGACTTTGTGCCTGTCGCGATTTCTGGCATGTTTGTTAGGTTTTTAACGGTCTAACTTGAGGCTCAACAACGAATTGACAATTTTTACTCGCACCCAAGGGTCCACATTTTGTTCTTTGCGAAATATTGATGTTTGTTTTAATATACAAGTCCAGGCTCCGGTTTAGCAAAACCGTGGAAATTCGGGTCTTGGGTATGCAGCGTTGAGAGCGACTTTGCGCCTGTCGCGATTTCTGACATATTTGTTAGGTTTTTAACGGTCTAACTTGAGGCTCGACAACGAATTGACAATTTTTACTCGCACCCAAGGGTCCACATTTTGTTCTTTGCGAAATATTGATGTTTGTTTTAATATACAAGTCCAGGCTCCGGTTTAGCAAAACCGTGGAAATTCGGGTCTTGGGTATGCAGCGTTGAGAGCGACTTTGTGCCTGTCGCGATTTCTGGCATATTCATTAGATTTTTAAGGGTTTAACTTGATGCTCAAAGACAAATTGACTATTCTAACGCATATCTACGTATACGTGCAGCTTAATTTATGGAACTTGTTTTACAAAACGTTGCCACGAGTTGATTTGTCACAATCAGCCAGAAGTGGCCGAGACAACAGAATTCATATCTCACCGCTTTATCCCGTATCAATGAAGAAATCTAATTTTTAATCACGCGAGCCTGGATCTCCAGATATCAGATCACCCGGGAAATCAGCTGCCGGGGATTTTTTAAGCAGCCCGATCGAGGATTTACCCAGGGGATTTATTAAAATAATCGTGCAATCACTCGGGATCGTATCCGGCGTGCTCTCTTAAACCTAAATCTAAAGTAACCTGAGCTAATCCAAGACCTGGAATCGAGAAATATCGCAAGCACATGGCCACTTGTCACTTCTCATAGACCTCTGCGTATATATCGATATATCGAATCCTCATATCTCAATGCAAGGGTAGGACTCGAGAGCGCAGACAATCAGGCATGTCGACGAGTGACAAAAGAAACCTAAGATGCTTATAGAAACGATTCATTCGGTGCACTTTAAGTGGACTCTTCGAACCATAATCCCCTGGCGTAGTTTACACCGATCACTTGGTACGTGTACTAAATCTGCAATTTTATCAAACTCTCAGTGTAAACGATGGTGTACCGGGACGATATCTTAAGCACTTTTTGAGTGTACCGCCCCAAGTCGATATACGACCGTTTATTCTGACAGATTAATAAATCCTGGCCTTTAGTGCGCGTACTAAATGTATAGTTTTATCAAATTCTGAGTGTAAACGATGGTATACCAAGACGATATAATATGCACTTTTCGAGTGTACCGTCCCAATTCAATATACGACCGTTTATCTGACAGATTAATAAATCCAGGCCTTTAATACGCATATTAAATGTATGGTTTTATCAAACTCTCAGTGTAAACAATGATCTATCAAGACCGTACAATACGTACTTTCGCAGTATACCGTCCCAATTCAATATACGACCGTTTATCCTGACAGATTAATAAATCCAGTCCTTTAATACGCATACTAAATGCATAGTTTTATCAAACTCTCAGTGTAAACAATGATCTATCAAGACCGTACAATACGTACTTTTCCAGTGTACCGTCCCAATTCAATATACGACCGTTTATCCTGACAAATTGATAAATCCACGCCATAAAAACTGATTGGTGTAAACTAAGGCTCTATCGTGGAACACCCTCGTGCTCCTCTGGTTCTGGACCCAGAACCTTAACGACGAGGGTGTCCACTTTCCGATTATGACGCTCTAGATATCGGTGCATTCGACACTCCCCTTGCTTCCCCGCTCTAGGATTTGCTGGACAAATTGCCTGGTGTACGTATCACCGTGCAAATTGTACACCGGCGGACATTAATGCCTTCCCATACAAGGGCGGCGCCTGGTCGCAGGGAAGGCAATCATGGCGCCAGTTTATTGCCGAACCCGAGTCGAAATTTTCATCCTACTAATAAGGAGCGTATCCCATGTGTACTTGATCGACTTTATTACTCCTGAATATGTAGTGTATCAAAAAGTAAGGATTGTGTACTCTTTTATTAATGTTAATTCTTAAATTTGAAGGGCGAAACCCACCCACCCACTGAACACCAAACCTAACAGTTACGTAACTTAAAAGTAACAAATAACATAACGTTTGTTGCAATGTAATAACCTAACACTTACGTAACAGAGCTAACGGGTTACATAACATTTATTATTATCATATCTATATTAATGTAGCGTAACTTTGTTACTCTCATCTTACATTATGACGTGATATTACTGGGTATATGCAGCACATATTTGTAACAAAACATAACTACATTGGTGCTGTCATTTATTTTATTACATCATCGTCATCGTCATTGTCATGATTCATCGTCAAATGTCACAAGATTAATATATGTCATATTTTGTTTACTACTCGTATGAAAAAATATTACTTCAATTCATCCGCGCATATACATTATCAGTCATTGTTTGCTAGTCGAATGAAATCCTAATTGTCTTTAAGTAAAATCAGATAGTTTCTCATTACGTAATTTCGTGAATTTTCTTGAACGTCTGATTTGTCATTTAATATCTAACTATCGCCAAGTACCAAATATAATTAAAAATAAAACATTATATAATTTTGGATAAAATTGCGTCATCTTTTTTATTAAATGTATGAAAAATTAATATTATTTTAAGGTAACTGAAATTATAACATTAATGTAACATTGATATAACATGTTACGTTACTGAGTGGGAAATAATAACTAACATCTAACTTCCATATTACTTTTATGCTACATAACATGTTAGTTTTGGGAATGTAACATTTACCCAACAGTTATATAACAGTATTCACTGGGCCACCAGTTAACCACCATACAATAAATTTTTCATAAATATTTTATTGTAAACGGAATAGTGTGCTTTGGTTTAACGGAACGCGAACGCCTAGATCTCACGATTTTGAGGTTAGGGGATGATTCCGTAATTCCTAATTGAACTTCTTCCGGTTTACTTCCTCGGTATAATAATAACTATGGATAATGAAAACAGTGCCTTGCCATGAACTAAACTCTTGCTAGTTGGTACATTCGGATGGCTAATCGGTGTAGTTTGGTTTAACGAAACGCGAACGCCTAGATCTCACGATTTTGAGGTTAGGGGATGGTTCCGTAATTTCTAATTGAACCTTCCGGTTTACTTTCTCGGTATAATAATAACTATGGATAATGAAAACAGTGCCTTGCCATGAACTAACTCTTGCTAGTTGGTACATTCGGATTGCTAATCGGTGTGCTTTGGTCTAACGAAACGCGAACGCCTAGATCTCACGATTTTGAGGTTAGGGGATGGTTCCGTAATTTCTAATTGAACTTCTTCCGGTTTACTCTCCCGGTATAGTAATAACTATGCATAATGAAAACAGTGCCTTGCCATGAACTAAACTCTTGCGAGTTGGTACATTCGGATTGCTAATCGGTGTGTTTTGGTCTAACGAAACGCGAACGCCTAGATCTCACGATTTTGAGGTTAGGGGATGATTCCGTAATTTTTAATTGAACTTCTTCCGGTTTACGGTTCACAAAGGGCGTGAAAATGTAGACGTTGGCTTGTACCTCGTAATCCCTGAAGTTAATTCGGCATGGTACCTACCCTTATAAATTATTCCCTTTTTTACTTTAGTACTGTACAGAGCGTAACGCTTCGGCCTTCCAGAAGGATCACATCCTTTGTAACGAGAAATTTCCATCGGGTCGTTCACATATCCCTATTACCCCTCGATTTAGTATATCCGAAAGTAGCGCTTGCCAGGAATGCATATTGCATTGCATCTTATGCGACCATTTAAACTTAACCTTACATAACCTTAAAACTTACTGGTGTAAACGGTGGTCCTGCAACGTCCCTCCTTAAGCGCGCCACTTGAAACTAATTTCTAAATATTCATGCACTTAATCTACCATGCAAGGGCTCCATGGAAACCATTAACTCCTGGTTAATTTAACTAATCCGAGCCCGTAGGTTGATCGGCGGTTAAGCGAAAGGAAGCGATTAATTAATCTCGATGTGACAGCGTGTCACACAGCGAAGCAAAAATTCGATGACGCATCTCGGACATGCAGGGATCACAAAATGGGACTTTATGTACACAATAAATATATTCCTTACTCTTCCGGAATGTTTTCGACGGTTAATTTATCTAATCCGAGCCCGTAGGTTGACCGGCGGTTAAGCGAAAGGAAGCGATTAATTAATCTCGGTATCTCGGTGTGACAGCGTGTCACACAGCGAAGCAAAAAGTCAATGACGCATCTCGGACATGCAGGGATCGCAAAATGAGACTTTATGTACACGATAAATATATTCATTACTCTTCCGGAATATTTTCAACGGTTAATTTATCTAATCCGAGCCCGTAGGTTAATCGGCGGTTAAGTGAAAGGAAGCGATTAATTAATCTCGATGTGACAGCGTGTCACACAGCGAAGCAAAAATTCAATGACGCATCTCGGACATGCAGGGATCACAAAATGAGACTTTATATACACGATAAATATATTCATTACTCTTCCGGAATATTTTCGACGGTTAATTTATCTAATCCGAGCCCGTAGGTTGA